CAGCAGGAGCAGCAGCGAGAGCAGCACCAGCAACACCAGCAGCAGCACCAGCAGCAGCAGGAGCAGGAGGAGCAGGAGCAACAGCAGGAGCAGGAGGAGCAAGAGGAGCAAGAGCAGCAGCAGCAAATACATTATGTACGTAGTTAAGGAGGTCGTTCCAATGTCGTTTTGGATGTCGTCCGGAGGGTCGTTCCCCAACTAGATAACACATTCCACGAAGACAGAAAACATCAGAAATAGCTGCGGCGGTGCGTGGAATTCTGAACGAAGGATCCCACAATACCACTTTACATCAATCCACCTTTTTTTCTGGCTCAAATAAGCATGAAGAGCGAGGAAAGCAGGAGAGATCATACAGAAGCAAGGAAATGCAAAACAAGCACAGAAAAGAAGGAAAAGCAACAAAAGCAGCGCGAGGCAGAAACAAAAAGCATCCAAAACAAACACAAAACAAAACATCCTTCTTTCTTTCCTCTTTGCAATGATCTGACACCGAGGCACAACTTGGTTGGTCCCCAATGCAGGAACAATTTACAGCGAGAAAACACGAATGCACGGAAGGCACGAAGGCAAGAAACTAAGGGCGTGGCCGAACGAAAGCAAAGCTGGTTGCGGATTCAGTACATCAAAGTGTTTAATTACGAATTTGAAAAAGCGGGTGGTGTCGTCAACGTAAAGGACAAATCGTTCCGAGTTTTCTTTGTGCTGGTCAGCGTGTTCTGAAAACAAAACATCCAAAAACATATCCCTCCAAAAGGATATATGTGGAGCCACAATCGAATGCATTTCAAGTCAAGCTTTTGGCCACGCGTGCATCGAGCTTGCTACTGTCGACAATTTGCTGCTAAGTACATGGCCATGGCTCAAGACAACAACAACTATTGGCAGATTCATCCTCTAAGAGGAAACCACCTGAATCGGGAATACACCCAACAACATGGTCGTCAAAGACGAGGGATTTTTTTACAAGTTTTGAACGGTCCAGAGTGGTGCCTGACATGGGGCGCTAGCACATACTTCGGTGGGCGCTTTACTGGTTTCATGCTTGGACCCTCTCATTCCTTTGGGATGTGCTCCTGGGGGCTTGTGCTCCCAAGTTTGTCCTATTGGACCTGCAACCAAGCAACCTACCTACCTACTTATGACCGACAAATCTGGTAACACGCATCCAGCCTTCGCACTTTTTCAAGGAGCAAGGTCTTCTGTATATGGTGGTTGTCCAATATTCTTGTTTATTGAAACGGCCATTCTTCGCGAAAAAAAACATTAACATTCGCGAAACTTTCGCGAACCCTGTGTTTTTCTTTCGCGGGGGTTCACCATGTCATGAAACCATTTAACCTGGTAGGGACTCGATTTCTAAATACAAGTGCACGGAGTGTTTTTGTTTCAGCAGGAGGATGCTACAGACAGGAAAGTGGTGTTGGAGCAGAATTTCGTTGGCACATGTTGTTAGAGAAAGCATTTGCACAAGGACGTTGGATGATGAAGTTTGTGGGGTTGCTATGGGCTACGGGGTTCCTCTGGAGCCGATTCATTCGCCGAAACCTTCGCCAGACTTTCGCGAAACTTTGGCGAAAAAAACACCTGTGCTTTGGAGGTTTTTACGGCATACATAACATAGGGTGGACTACATGAAACAGGAAGGAAGCTTCACACGGATTCCAAAGTTGAAGCTGCTGAAAAAAAACATACTTTCGCGAATCTTTCGCGAAAAAAACATTAACATTCACGAACTCGAAAAAAATACTTTCGCGAGACCCACGATCATGTCATCCAAGGCTCTCGACATTAAAAACCCTTACAAGGACCTTTTGGATAACTCCCATATATAATAGTTCCTACCTATCACCATCACTAAACGTCAGTTTCAATTGTGACACCAGCTAGCATTCAATGTCCAGAAGCACATGGTTTAAAAATGCTTGAAACGGTTTTCAAATAGTCGGCTGAGAGACTGTGGAAAATGATCCTTCACATCCCGAATCCGGGAAAGAAAAGCATCCCTGTCCACAACTTGAGGCGAGGACTTCAACTCATCAGATTTGCCTGGACACAAGGTTCACAGGCGATTCACATGTTGAAACACCCTCTTTTTGCTGGCTATATCTTGCCATTGTCAAAGTGTCGCAATTGTCGGTGCTCAAAACCAGGTGTGACCATGATGCGTCGATCAACAGCAATTGAGCAGCTTGGCATTCTTTGTGCAGGGTCTCCAGAATGGCACAAAACCAAACCAAAGCGGGTCTCAATGTGCTTGACTCTGCTCCCAGCCTCTCTTTCTTTTTTTGTTGAAGAGTCTTTCACCTGAGAATCTTGGACACACAAACAACCATGGCTTTCATGGCCGAAGCGGCTGGTAGGTATATGCAAGTGATCTCAGGATGGCACCTTGCTTTCTACCATTTGCAGCATCCTGGAAGTAGCACAAAAGTCTGTCATGGGCCCACCGCATGACCCAGGCATACCCCAAAGGTGGATATGACATGGACAAATAAGTAACTTGCCTGAACAAAGCCTTCTTGCATGCTAAAGGTTTCACCACTCTCGTAGATCTCCTGCAACGAATCCATCGGGCAGCAGCAAAGGTATAATTGCATAAAGCTTTGTCAGGAGACACGTCCTTCTGATGCTTCTTGGAAATCTCTTCCTCCGCAGAATGCATTCTGTTGACAAGAACAAAACACTAGTGCTTCACAATTGAGCACGAGTGGCATGGAAAAGAACTCATGCTTCGCTCCCTGTACAATACACAAGCCTATTATATAGGGAAGTATTATTATGCAGTGCTGCGTCTGCTGCGTGGCTCAACACATTAATTGAATAGTTTTGCAAAGCTTTGTAGATGGCAATAAGTCTGTCCTCAATGGTGCCCAAGGTACAAAAACGCCAAACATGAACCTTGACCACACAAAAAGATGGATTCACTGTCTTTGGCTTGTTCAAAGAACACAAAACTGCTGCAAACGTTGAGTTTCGTTTGTAGACCAATGACAATAGAGCGACTTACATTCCGTTTGTGTCGCACAGTGTCTCTGCCTCGTTGCGTGGTTGTCCCCAGCGCCGCACTCGTCCAATGGCTTGAAGTTCAAACGCCACGGACTGCTCGGATGTCTCTGCGTTCATCGGGTGCACAAGGATCCTAACAGAACTTAGTCAAAACTGCGATCTGATAGCGAATCATATTGAATAATCACCAATATATTCACTGAATGATAATAATCGACACTATCATGGACAAGCAGTAGAATTACATTGCTCGCCAGCACAGACAAAGAAATGACATAAACACTCACCAAACAAGAGCCGGCGGAGGCACAACACTTTACATCCTTCTCAAATAATGCAGTACTATTCTAGACAAGTGAAGAGTGATCTCCAAAGCTTACACTACTCTCACAGGCCCCCAACTAGGCAACACGACAAGTGCCCCTTGTGTTAAAACATCCAGCCCCTCTAGCGTAGTTCTTGGGCGCTGATCTGGTGGCTTCCTTACAGTGAAGCTTGCTAAAGATCCAGGAAGCAAATGATTTGTCCGAGCGCTCCTTCAAGGAAGCTCCCCCAGCCCTCAGGCTAGGGGCGCTTCCTTGAAGAAGCGTGAGCTATCCTGCGTCATTTGTAGTAGCGTCTCAGTAGCTAGGAGCGAACAAATTTGTCCCTTACTTAATTAAGTAAGCGCCTGCTCAAGGCGCATACTCTCTTACTTCATTAAGTAGGCGCAAGTAGGAGCGCACCAAAAGAACTAAAACAGAAAACAACTTTGCGGTAGCTGAAGTTTTTGTCGTGGGGTGCTAGAAACATCTGAGGGGCTCAACGGCTTCTGCACCAAACGCGCACGGCACATTATTCATCATTGTTCTCTGTCACAGAAACGCATGGACTACAAGAACCTGCCTTGATGTTCCTCACGCCAAAATACAGCCATGGCTCACATGATTTGCGCAAGTCAAGTTGGTTCCACTGGCGCTTTGCTCCAGCGAAAGCAACAGGACATCGACACTGGAATTGGCTCCTCACAATGTGCATGCCAAAACACTTTGCAAGCTGGTAGCCCGCACACCAAAATACAACAGTATTTGATTCGATTCCCTTCATTATTTCTTTCAGCCAAATCTATTGACAAGAACGTAGCTTATGGCAAGGACTAGACATTAATCAAATATGATGGCCTAGTATAGAAAAGTTCTTGCTCCAAGGATCCCCTTCTTGTGTTTAGACTCAGAATTCTGAATGTGTTTTTCAAAGAAGGAACGCATCATATGAATCGTGCTGCAACATTGAGCGTCATCTGATCCTAGCCATCTACACATCCTGACTATATAAACAGCAATCAAACCAGATTGCGGCGTCTCCTTGAAAGTTCACCAAAGTTCGAGTTTGCGCGTAGACCGAACCACGCAGGCGTGAGTATCGAACCCCGAAGTCTTTGAAGGCGCAAGCAATGTTCCCCAAAAGACTGTCCCATTGGCAAAAGACTATGCATTTTGCCTTAAGAGCGAAAAGAGAACAAAGCAATCTTGGCATTCTGGATTTCTCTCCCAGCACGAGCAACAGAACAAAATAGGACAGTACAGCTCTGAAGATGGAAAGTTAATGACATTGAACGTCCAAGTCCAGCAGCAAAGCAGTCTTGCAACTTGATCTCCTTCAGAAGCTCGACAATTGCTGCCAGTTTGGTGCCAAATTTCTGAAGCCCGGGCTTGTCAACATCTTGATCTGTAACTGCTTGTTCCTTCATCTCATGCATCAACGGCACAACGTCAGACTGCCTCACAAACTTGAATTTGCGAAGATGGGACAATTGCCCACAAACGTGTCACTTCTGGCGGCCCTACAACCATATTATAGGCTGATACGATCATAATCATAAAGTGTATACTATATACTGTATATATGGTACACATAAATATATATAGCTATAGTATATCTACAGTGGGTTTGCCAAAAAGAGCTGAGGCACTTCAAAGGATGCCTGCAAACCCCACATCTGCCGTTCCTCTCCACTTGCTGGCTTAGACAGGGCAAGCAAAAGTAGTGAGCACAAGGAGTGATGCCCAGCTGTTCAAGCTCCAAATTGTCCTGGCTGTGGATCTGATCTAAACAGGAAAACATGATTTCCTTGCATATCATAAAAGTGCACAGGCTTCACCTAATGCCGTGCATGTCCCATTGAGCACTCATGCGCGGCTGCTGCTTAACCAATCCTTCAGCTTGATCACATAAAGCAACCCCGGCACTTTGGACGCTCCTGATAGCAAATCACACAGTTTCGCTCTTTGTCCTCCTGGACAGGACCCATCGAAGCATCACAAAACCGTGTGAATGGGCTGACCTTCGATGATAGCAGCGTCAGTTCCAAATCACAACGAGGAATCCAACACCTTTAGTATATCCACATCCTCGCACTGATGCCTAGACTAGACCTGTTCTTGACACGGATTGATGGGGGGTTGAAAGGTTCTGGGCTTGGATTGGATGCAGGATCGAGACAAAAGATGCTAGCCAAACAACCCCATAAGCCAAAGATTAAGAATGGAACTTTGTAGTTTGTAGAAATATAAATTATCATGGTATACGACAAACTATCAAATCAAGGCCTAGCTAGATAAACAAATAGACAGTAGGCAAATAAAATAGGTCGATTGATCTATTAAAAGCACAAGTAGACTTTGGCAGCGTGGGGTAAAGCCTATGGCACAACTAGTCGCAGGATTTGTGTACAAATGAACACTGCCGGTACAGCCTACAATTAGAGAGGCAAAGTAGCTCAGGATCAGTATACTAATGTGACCTTGATGACTGCCCATTTGGGACTTTATCAGCCTGTGCAAATTGAATTGTAAGTTGTTTGAGTGGAGACTCAGGTTCACTTGTAACTTTTCAGTACGTTAATTTTTGGATACGCTTACTTCTAGACATTTGCCTCGCTGGAGAACTGTGATTCATTGGCATTTCCCATGGCAATGCTCACATTCTGTCCTTGGCGATGAGCTCCAACGTCTGCTCAAGGAATTTGAGCTGTGCTTGTGCCTCATTATGCTCATACTGTACAATCAGCAACCAAAACCGGCCACTTCCTAGGTTATTCTGCAGCCAACTGACATGAAGCATGGATTCTGTTCTAAACCCAAGAATAATGCATCTGGATCTTTCAAATCAGTGGCCAACAGTCAAATGCTGGCTCTCGATGTTTGCCCCTCTGTGCCTCCAAGAAGGCCATCAGTGCTTGTCGCAGTGCTCTTTCACAACGCTCAACCCAGCTAGGAAGAGCATTCGACACGCTTGGTGTGGCTCCCGTGCTGGACAAGGCACGCCTCCCATGAAACTTTTTCAACGCAGCTACCACCAATGGGTTCACATCGCGACTTTGTCAATGAGCGGTCCAAGGTACGAGTATACCAGGATGCATGGTTCGGGGTTTGGTTTATGGTTTGGGGTTTTCACTGCTTGCACTGATATTTGCATGGAATTGTTGAAAACTTGATCATTGTTGACATAAAATTTGAGTGAAAGTATCCTAGTTAATCTAGTTATATATAATATATCGGTCATCGAATCATCAAAGCCGATGACGAAGCTTCAAGTGCCTCAAGTCATCTCAAGCCCCTTTCGGATTGTTATTTACAGGAATTGGCTATCCCATCAAAGTGCTTGGGGGCAAACCATGAGTCCTGGCCATACGAGTACTCCAAAGATTCAAGGTAAGAACGTCCAAATGACCAACATGCCAAGCTGCCTCACCCGTGCACACCATGGCTCCCCATCCATTGGAGTCAACTCTTCCAAACCTAGGTGTGCTTGGATCATGAGTTAAGGACTCTTCCACGACTATACAATAGTAGATGATTTATTGAGACGCTTATTTTGCGACAACAACAATCTGGTTCTTCCCTTGCCAGCTGGGCAAGGGGCTGATTGCCAAGGCCTTCTCCCGTACCTCCTCAATAGCTGTCTTGGCCTCTTCTTGACGGCTTGCATCAGAGATGAAGGCCTGACAAAGGATGATGTTCAACACCGCATGCAAAACGTGCAAAACCTGCTATGACATTGGTAGGGTGGTTGTGGCTGTTGAAGGACTTGAAGGAGTAATATCTGCAGCAGAATTGGGCATCTTTTTGGCTAACGTTGGGACGTCTTGACACACTCAATATGCCTAAACTTCCTGATTTATATCATGCCCATCTGTCAACAGGTCTATTGGTTGTGGCCTGCCATTGCTTGGAATCATAGGTCTTTGTTGGTTTCAACCACCATCTACATGTAAGTATACACATACCCTACTTTTCGTCCTGGAAACCGACTACTTGCTGTAAATCAAGTGTCCGCAACTGCTGTTTCTGAGAGATGCAACTTGTAGCAAGCCAATGACAGCAACAACAAATGCTGCAGCATGGCTGGAGGGGATCGCAAATAATGGAAATTGCAATTGGCCCATTTCGCAGAAAACGCGTAGGTCAAGAACATTACGTCGCCATTGTGGGGCTTGAGCCAGGTCAAACGTACAAGTTATTCTGTACAATATGTTTGTGATCGACCTTGAAAGTTTTTCACACGCTTTCTCGGTAGTGTGGGCGCACATCAGTCATTTTAACTAGCTCTGTCGCCATAGTCTACTCTACTTCCATCATAGTTTTGTTGATTTTATCTCTTTCCTCAGGGTTCCTTGAGGTATCAGTTGCTGTGTTTTCTGGGTTACGGTTATCTCTTCTCGCTTCCATAAACTCTAGCGTCCTTTCATAACGATTTTTCTCATAGGCAAGCGTGTCTGCTAGATCATAGTCTCCTCTTCCCAGTAGTACCCATTGTCTTTCTCTCAACTGTTCAACCTTTATTGAAGTCGACCACACAGCTGCTCTGTTTGTTTGTTATATTCTACCTTGTTTCATATATTCTGCATTTCCTGGTTTGAATCGTCTTGATAATGGTCCTTTTGTAGGAAATGTTCCCTGGGTAGCTGCCTGTATCATCACAAGATGACCATGATATTCTCCTCTGGTTGATCTCATGTCTTCCAAGCTCCTGCTGGCTAAGTAGTTTCCTGCGTTTGTCTCTCCAAGCAGCAAGCATACCATAGCTGATTATGGTGGAGTAACCGGTTCTTGTTCTTCTAATGAGAATCAATCCACAATGAAGTGAGGTTGTCTATCCTGCGCTGACTTGCTTCTTTCTGAATGTCTAGGCTCAATAGCGTTCACTTATCTTCACATATCCTCCTCCAGGTTGTGGAAACTCAACTACTAGACTATAGTCCATAGTCTTCTTCAAGTATCCGAAGAACTTCGTCAAGACGATGAAAGGACATAGTTGCTGGATGTGGCCATTCTTGAAACCAATTCCTTGACAGTAAATGCTACATCAAACCTCTCTTGACAAATATAGATTCCTGAACCAACAATGCCTCTGAACAGGCTAATCTTCTCTGGATCAGTCGAGATCTCTGACTTGTCTTCCATCTGGATTGAGTTGTCTGATGGTAGTTGTTGAAATTTGACCTTGCCAATCTGTTCCTCATAGGCTTTCAACATCTGCTGGGCATAGTTACCTGGTTGGGTCCATAGTCCATCCACCTCTAACTTGTAATTTCTCCTCCCAAATTGAACTCATCACCAAACCTCTCAATTTTGCCCGCGCTGGTGTCAAACCTGTCTTGAACCTTTAGAAGAAAGATTTCATTGCTGTACTTGGAACAACCTGTGAAAATCAAGTCATCCACTTGGATCAAAATGATACTCTTCTCATTTCTTCCTAGGCATTGACACTCAGCGGTGAGGTACTCTGTAAAGAAGTCGAACCATGCTTTTGCTTCAACTCTCTGTCCAGGTAAGTTCCTTTTTCGCCAAGGATTCTTCTCCTCTCAAATCACTTTCAAAGGTTTCTCCTGTGGAACTTGGCGAGAAAGCATCTTTCACATCTAGACAACCTAGCGCTTGAGACAATGCTCCTTCTCCCTCTCTTGCTTCTTCCTCCCCGCTGACTCTCTGCAAGAAAACTGTGGGTAGAAGTTTCAGTACATGACCTGAAGTCGCTGGTGAGAAAACGTCATCCCTCTTTCCTTGAGCGAAAGCAATTTCTCTTGCAACTAGCCTTGGTCTTCTATTCCACCTCTTGCTTGTTGCCCCATCTTTATAGTGATAAGGTTTCTTTCTCCAGTCATACACATTGCGTGTGGTCAGGTAACTGAACCTGCTGTACTACCTTCTGGTCTCTCTAGCGCCTGCAACTCTTGGAGTCTCTTCTCTTCACCTTCATCAGCTACTCGGTCTATCCAATCTTCTGGGTCTTCTTCTGGTTCACGCTCTCCATGAGGCCACAAGCATTCAGGTCCATTTACTTCATCCTCTTTGCTTTCTTCTTCCCCTTCTGCTTCCAGTCCTCAGATTTCATCAACTTCTTCTGCAACTGGGGGTAGCTCACCTACATGATGGAGGCCTTCTCCAGCCACTTGTACCAAGTTGATCTTGAACTTATTGCTTGAATCCTGTGATGGTTTGAGTTTTTTCAGGGCTTTCTTCTTCAACCGGTATTGGCTCTATCTCTGAACCACTTCCTCCTTCAAGAGCTGTTGCCGTGACTGCTTCTGCATCATCCTTGAACTTCAACATCACATGCTCTCGAGGAATATCTGTCTGCGCTACTGGCAATGCTTCTGCTCTTCTCTTTGTGGCAATGATCCTACCTGCTAAGTTTGTCTGGTACTCTCAGGAATAGGCATTGAAGCTTTTGCAGATTGCCAAGTATTTGGACCAGTCTTGATCTGTTCTCCTGACGCATTTGCTCAGAACTATTCCTGCAAGCTTCCTCACCGTGTCAACTGTATTCTCTGACAGAAATGAATGATCTCCCAATACAATTTTGAGGTGTCCAATCTTGTAGTAAGTAAGTCCTAGGCTATGACGAGCATTGATCAGCATCTTGAGAAGGTGTGTTGTTGTGGGTTCATGGTCACTTCTGTAGGCGGTCGCTGAATACACCAACAACTGGCTGAAATTCACCAACTCTTGCGCAATGAGACGAAATTGGTTCTTGTTTCCCAATGGCACAGCATGAATGTATCCAGTCCGGCTGTCAGTCGTTTGCAACTGGCCAACATACTGCTCTCGCTGACTTTGTTTCTGAATCTCTTGCTCTAGTACAGAAAAAGTCAAAGCTCAATTCAGGAACACTTCCTCTCTTCACTCCATCTGTTCTCGCATGGCGATCCGGACACGCTCGATGCTCAACGCAATCCTTACACCAATTGGCATAGGGTAGATGCGTCAATCTGTGCCTCGCGTGAGTGGCTTCATCCGGCATCTTAGCCACACTTTGTCCTAGCGCTTCTAGTGTCCCTTGAGCTTTTGCTTCACTCACCTAGCTTTCGGCGCTTCTCTTGTTGCAATTGAGGATCTTGGCGTAGACCTTCAACTGAGAGCCGCTACCTCGAGAATTGAACACGCTGCCCTCAAAGTTGGTAAAGTAGAACCCTTAGTCAACCCTACTCCATTCACCAAGACTTTGTCTACATGGGCTCAATTGTAAGTCACTCGAGGTCTTCTTCTTCTTTCTTATCTTCTTCTTTCTTGTCTTCGACCTCCTTCTCCGGTGGAGTAGGGGTAATCTCGTCGATTGCCTTCTCCACTTCTTTCTCTCTTCTCTATTCTCGAGCTTCTTGTATCCTGGCGCAAAGAATCCCATATCTTCTGGCGGCGCTGGCTCATAGCTGAAGATTGCGATTGAAGAAATGACTGCATCATCATCAAAGAACTGCCCATCAAGTTCCTCCTTTCTCATCATACTTACGCAGTATTCAGGCACAAGCCACCTACTTCACCAAAGTGGTTCTCATCAGCTCTGGTGAATCTTCAACTTCTGGAATGAATGTGGGATCAACAAATCTTGAAATCGATAAGCTTCAACTAGCAGGCCACGCTCATTGAATCCCTAACCTGCTGCCTTTTCCAAAGCTTCAAGTACTTGCTCCTCTAAGCAGCTTTCACCCTCTAATGCAGCCTTGCAAAAGGCGATCTTGCAAGTTGGGGGGTACCTTCAAGTCACCATTCTCCAATGTCTGCTCTCTACCCCTGATTCTCAACCATGCTCCATCAGTCTTCCATAGCAAAGTACGGGCTGACTCACTTTTGGTTTGAAGATCGCGTTCTCTTCAGAGCTTCGCGTCCATCAATGAACTCTAGCTCTCCTTCCCCCTGATCTGCCAGATTCAAGGAGGATAAGCTCCACTGTCGATCATGATGGCCACATCGTCTCTCTCTTCTCCAAGTCTTCTAGCCTTGGACCCTGCACTCTCAATCTCCAATGAGGTTCTCTCCTTCTTCACCTGGCTCATCAGCATCATCATCATCATCTCCAACGTAGAAGCGGATTACTCGAATTCCATGATCTTCCCCTTCATCATGCCCTTCTCGCAGGTCAAAGATGGTTGGTCTGGTATCTGCTGAGTTACTTTGCTGACTCACATTGGCTTGTTGTTGAACAACTGTATGAGTGGTCACTGAAGTTCCTCCTGAAGATGAATGGGTTGCATCTGTATCACTTGCAACCTGTTGAATACTGCTTCTCCAACAACTCGAGCAAGATGTCCCGGGTTCCCACAAGTGTAACAAGCTGCCACACCTTTCCCTTTGTGGTCTTTGCCTTTACTTTTGCCCCTGTGATCACCTTCCTCTCCTTTCTGATCTCCTTCTTCTTTCTTTCCTTTGCCCTTAGCATCTTTACCTTCGCCTTTCTGATGGTCGTTGTTGCCCTTCTCACCTTTTCCCTTGGCATCTTGGACTCGATTCAATGTCCATTGGCATAGGCCCTTGACAGTCTGTACTGCTTCTAGCCACCATGGAAGTAGCCCACTTCTGCTGAGAGCGATCCCATTGCAACACTTGTTCCCTCAGAGCTGAGTATTGAACATTCTCGCCAACTGCCAATTTCAAGTATGATTTGATTTGTCCACCTACACCTCTCGAGAGAAAGCAGATTTCAACTCTTCCTGAACTGTCGTCCCTGACTTGACTGCCTCATCAAATACCTCTTCAAGCTTAAGGAGTTGAGGTTGTAGAGAACTGTTGATACAAAACGCTGGCCATGTAGTGGCTGCTCCCGAGAGCGCTAATCCTCTAGCCTTTGAAGTAGGTTTCAAAGTTTTGTTAAAACTCCTCCAGGCATCAAACCCATTGGAGTCTTCACCAATTGCGGCGCTCTTCCCCACGTCAATGAAGCTAAACATCCATACACCTTAATGCACCTGGTCTTTTGCTCTGGAGTTGCCAAGTCCCAGTCAAAGCTCTCATTTCCTTCAAGTCCTTCACGTAGACCTCATCAACTCCACTCAAAAATTTTTCAAATACCAATGACCGCTCTCTAAATGCTTTGATTTCTTCTTCTTGTCGTGCGTAGTCAAAGATGTTGGGCTTTGCAATGAATTTTGCTTCTTGTCCTCAACTGCTTTCTTGACTGCCTCAGCTGCTGATGTTGTTGCTTGCGTACTCTGCGCTATAGTTTGAAGGATTTCTCTGATCTCATCCATCGTTACCGCACTAAAACATCTTTTTCACACAATGTACGGGGTACAGAGTGCAGCTCGCAACAGTTCTTCACCAGTCCAGCTACATGGGTTCCAAAGGCTGGCTCGAAACGCTCCCACGATCCCAGTGACCTAGGGACTTCTCTGCGATCACTCAAAGGGGCTTGAGCCAGGTCAATGTACAATGCTATACTTATGATCTACCTTGAAAGTTCTTCGCTAAATATATGTTCGTATATTTTTTGCTAGAACAGGCACTTGAGTCCCTGGAGTCCCTGGACAGTTACTGCGCCGCAATCCAATTTGGTTTGGCCTCCTTCTACGCTACTGTTGAGCGCCCATAGTGTTGACACGGCAAGATGGAACAAGACCTGTGAACGAACAATTCGACAACAGAAAAGCCTGAAGGCCAAAACGGGGACAAGTCACACCGAACATGCAATGGTGAGACATTGTTGAAATGTGTCTTGGTGGGCTAACAAACGCTTGTTACAGTGCTGCTGAGCGGTGAAAATCACGCACGCATGTCCACTTTGGAAATCTGGGGTTTTCTCGATTGACTAGAAAGCGCTTGGAAAAATGCAAGCCAAATTGTTTTTCCCACGTTATGGAGTAGTGACAAGGGCAAAGGTGGCCAGGACCCAAATGCGCGGCCTGAATCCATCCATGTCCCTATCTATATACCTAGGCCTAGACTGCATCGAATAGTTCTTTTTGCCAATCTCGTTGCTCACTGCCACCAAGGCGTTGAGCCCGACCGAGCCTCAGTCTTGACGTTGGCACCCAAGCGTCGCAGGGCTTCTGCCCACTTGGCAACCAAAGCCAGGTGATCATAGGCCGTGCGAGATCCCTGACGCCTGCGGCTCACCAAATTGCCACACGCCTCGCAAGAAGCGAACACCAATGCAGAAAACAACTCATTATGACCGACTCTCTCCAAACCAAACACGGAACCGTCTAAAACTCCATGGGTGGCAAGTTTTCTTGGTAGTGAAAAAACCGTGTCTTTTGCAATACCTCGAAATCATGTTATCGTTTTTTTACTCTTATCGTTCTCTGAGGTGAAAGTACCTTTAGTGGAAGATCACAAATCAAAAGATGTCACTTGGTGGTCTACATGGTCCTACTTCAGGATCCCGTAGCACTGCCTGTACCAAGGCGTGCACCGTCTTTGGCGCAGATATAAACAGCTAAACAAGACTACCACATTGCACACTTCTGCCCTTCAAAAGGTCTAATGAAAACAGTCAAATGGGTACTTGCCCACCAGGGCTGCTTTTTGCTGCATTTCCTTATCGTTTTCGTTATCGTTTTGTTATCGTTCCGGACACCACTGCAGGTTGCCACTTCGTGGTTCATGTAAACAGCTGCAGCGTATGGACCAAACAGCCCATTCAGTTCCTAGTAGTAAGGCCAGGAGCCCCTAAGAGCTTCTTGTTCCTGCTAGCGGTGCCAGGAGCCCCTAGTAGCTGCTGGTTGCTTTGTAGTAAGGCAACAATTCCCTAGTAGCTTCTTGTTCTTGTTCTTAGTAGTAGGGCCAGGTAGCTTCTTGTTCCTAGTAGTAAGGCCAGGAGCCAGGAGCCCCTAGTAGCTTTGGTATAATCATTGTTATCGTTTTCTGGGGTAGGAATGCATTATAAGGTGCGCGCCAATACTAAACCGCTGAGAGCGGGGTTATTTCAACAGCCCAAATGGGAAACGGGAAACGGCCCAGGCCCATGACGCATTGCAAGCTTGAGCTGCATCCGCGGCGGAGTCGGCCGATCAATCATACCTCATGGCCTCGCGCGACTGGTGCAACATCATCTTCTGCCTAAACCCATCCAGACTTTCACACTCAAGAATACCCTTTCTGAAATTAGGCCACCCCAGTCGCGTTGCAGGACTGTAGGTTTCATGGCCTGCGTCAAGCGGTCTGCCGTCATCTTCTTTGGTTCTGTTCTGTGGCAGGTGATCTGATGAGAAGCCGGTCTTCAAAGCAATTGCTTTGCTGCGCCGAAGTCAGACGTTAAGTTACAACCTTTTGCCTCCCACCGTATGTAGCCCTGGTTGGGTCGCATGAGTCGCAATGTCAACATTTGGTGTAGAGGTTGTTCTTCACCTGATCTTGAGTTTCAATCTGGCACTGGATTGCGCAACCCATGAGCACCACGAAAACTTCCCTCAGCGCCCTGCAACTCTGGCTCGATTCCAGTGGTCTTGACGAGCGCCCTCATCCATTCTGAGCCGTGACAGGCGTTGTTACACCCAGAGTCCAAGATCAAGTAGAGTCCTTCGCGGATCCTCCGCGTTCTCCTTTTGCTCTACTTGCACCATGAAGGAAGCGCCAACCTCCTCCTAAAGGCTGTATTATGTTTATATTATCCAAAACCAGGGTTGCGTGAGACACAGCTCCGCTGCCAGTATGAAACCCGCAAGCCATGAAACAATCCGTGACACTGCCTTTTCGTATCTTTTCATCATTCATAGCATCTTGAGCCACTACATCCATGGCGAAGTCAACGGATCAATCATGCCTGGTGCGACTGGCGACTGGTATGACATCATCTTCTACCTAGGCCTAGGCTCATTTTGACAGTTGTCGAAGTTACTCCCAAACCGAGGTGCCAAAGCGTGGCAAAGGTTTTCTTTGCCAAGTCCCCACGAAGGTTTACTTCAACAAGCCTGGGACGTCTTAGACATCTTTAGTTCACCAAAGCACACATTGCATTTTAATCTAGAGTGCCGATTAAACAGCCTCACCAATTTTAAAAAACACAATGTCCGAAGCCCTATATACGGTTTATACTTGTTTCTTAATTACCGTCCGTTCAAGCCGCTACTAAATTACCAACATGGTCGATTTTGGGGGTATGCCCTGTGTATCCACCACGTTTACACCAGCAGGTTTTCCTTCCCCCAATGGCACGGACTCACGCAAGCGCACTTGCCACCGAGGTCGCGCAAAACCGCGCGGCACAGCGACATCACCTTTCGAAAGCTTTAGTTGTTAGTCTAATGGTGAATCAGTATTCTAATGAAGGTTTTTGTAAGGGAAAGGAAGACCCTTCGATCTGGAGGTTTATTGAATATTTTATACGAGTTGAATAAATGATTTTACATAAAAAATTTTCCTGGATGACTTTGTGGTGTTGAATCGAAGCTCTTCCCAGGTGACCCTATTTTGGACCCCCCGATTTCAGGGAACCCCTATTTAAAAAAGCGACCGAGTTTTTCTTATTAGGGGGTGGGGGGGCCGGCGTGTTTTTTAATAGGTGGACAGGATTACTTGGAATGATCAGAAGTGAAAACAAGGCAAAATTTCAAAGACCATGGAAAATGCCGGAAAACCTGTATACTGCCACTGCAGGATCATGTCTAGCGTGTTGTCTGCGTTTACTTGCAGCAACATACAGTGAACATCACTAAGCCTCGTTCGCACTTCCTTCTCCGAGCAGCTGCTCGCTGAAGTGGGAGCACAGAATCAATAGCCGTTGATTGCGCTGCAAAGAGTTGCTCCAAGCATCAGCTGCTGCTGAGAGGTACAAAGCCCGCTCTTGAGGTGTATGTTTCACAAGTTTCAAGTGTTGTATCACATTGATTTTGGGAAGTTCTGCTGTGTTCTGTCGAACGCAAGCATCTAAAAAGCGGCTGCAGTTCTCAATCAGCACAGGGTCTGTATTCTGTAAAGAATGACTGCCCGGCCCAGCCACGTCAATCCGTAGCAGCTCAGCCATTCCAGAAATATGCTGAGCGGAAGTGATCAAAGGCGTGCCAGTAAGACCCCAAAAATGGTGTGAACGCAGGTGATGAACCGTGCTCAAGTCTCCCTGCCCACCAACAAGTTCATGAAGTTCATCGAAAACCACTCGCCGGAAGAAGAATAACTCCAGCAGCGGAAAGCGAAGTGAGCCATTGGACACAAACTTGGACCATTGATGACCTGTCTGTGGCTGCGAAAGAAATGATGAGACACCAAGCTGCAGTTTTTCCATGATGTTGAGTCCACTGTTGTCGGTCTCACTGCTGGCGATGTCCCACAAGTCCTCAGCCGTTGCGGCAGCATTGACAGGCACAGCTGCGCGCAGCTTCTGAATAAACACTGCTAATATCTGCGGGTAGGGGCCAAACATAGCGTGAGACACATCATTCCTGGCCAACAATACTCTTATTGCTGTCAAGTGGCTTTTCTTGGGCGAATCGCATCTGCCAACTCTGACCTTCGACCAACATACATGCTGGACTTCAAGATGTCATAAGTACAAAGCACCACGTCTGCCTCCAAAAAACTCCTGGGTTGAGATCAATGTCGCCATGCTGCCAACGCATGCGTCAATGCGTCGATATGATTTCAGATCATATCTTATTATTTCATGTGGTTTGAAGTTGCATCTAAAATCATTTCATATCTTGTCAAAATCATAATGTCTTGCCATATCTTATCACTTCTTGTTATTGAGCCGGTCTTTGGCGTCGATTCCTATCATCCAGTGTCCCAGGAATCGCATGACGGCTCCTGACAGTACTCCTCTCAAAGTCCTGCTTCTTGGTGATGTTCAAAACCTGAAGCAGGTTGAAAGACGCGTCCTTAACATTGTCGCTATTAGGGTGGGAGGCCATTACTACTAGTAGCAAGAAGCTTCTAGGTTGGAGTCCATCACTAGTAGGTTCCATAGCTGTTCGGGACCTGAAACAGCTCTCTTAACATTGTCACTGTCACTCATGTTATATTGGCAATTATTGGCAGCTTGCAACCTTTTGCTTGATTCGGACACGAATGGCTCTCTGCAGCTGCATGCCGAATTAAGACGAAGTGTAAACACTTGAGCGGTGCTGATCACAACCGCAACTTACAACAGCGAATGGATCGTTTTTTGGCAACATCTCTACCTCTCTATATATATACAATATACACAAATACATGTTTTTTCTGCACGATGTTCGTGGCATCGCAGGCAGCTAGTGGAAGTCAATAATTGAAATTTGTGGATTGACTGATTGACTGTCCCATATCAATCAGGAACCCAATTTCACAAATTGGTGTTGTACATGTGCTCATTTCGGTGCAAATCCAATTTGTGAAGATTAGCCTGACCTTTTGGCTTTTCCACGGTGTGCCAAAAAATGCATCTTGAGCTACCCCAAGCGCCTTGTACTTGTTCCCTGTGAACTTCTTGAGTTCATTCTGCCACTGCAAGTGCAAATGAGATGGAACGCAAATTAGTGTGGCTGGACATTGGAAGCTGGTCATCTTGTCCACCTCTGGCACGGCCAAATACTCACCATCCTTCACAGAAACGCACTTCTGCATTTGGATTAATGATTACTTGTGCCATTGAGGACATTGATTTCAAGCGTATCAATGTCATGAGGATTGCAAAACAACAGGGCAAACTCGTCATCGGTCACTCTGGGAGCTCCTGCCGAACCTCGTGTAAAGCGATTGCCAGAACTGTCTTGCCATAGCCCATCCTTGGGACATGCTTGAAACTAAAGTAAAGAAAATTGAAAATACGACTACAAAAGTATATTCAGTATACTCAAAAGCAACGCCAATAATTTGATATGACATGATTCTCATCTGCAAGTATGCCCCCATTCGCCTTGAATGAAGCAATGACACGGCAATCCAAACACCAATCCAGGGCCACGCTCTTTGGTGCTGCCTGTGTGAATAGCATTCAACGGCAACATCTCATTGACAAAGGTCATGTAGATTGAGACTGGCACGAATGCAAATGTATGTGTTTATAAAATTGAAATACGGTATAAGTATACTGAAATTGCAATCAGGGCCAAATCAAGGATGCTGATGGATACTGCTTTCATTGGATGGGCCCATAGCGACTGGGTTGAAAATTAGAATTGTGCAGTAGCATGTCACAGTCTCTGACCTTAAAATACTGCAACTGATTCGTGCTTGCAAACTGATTTTGTTCTTGCCCAAGAACAAATTGGTTGGAATGATTGCCATGCCATGAACAAGACTTTCAGCCTTAAAACAGGAAAGGACCGATGCTGATGGGCCTCCTTTGGGCGGAATCTTTGCCAATAGCACCGATAAATCATGGTCAGCATGCCAGATTCCTCCTGAACTATCAACCTGAAGGCCTTCTTGCTCTTCCGGATCGAGTCAGATAGAGTCATTTGTATTTGCAATTCAGTAGCACTCTCAGACCCATGTTTTTCTGTTTCAGGTTTTCATCCCTTTTACCAGTCCTGTTTCACCATCCAGCTCAACGACCTCAATTGTTCCGGCCGTAGGAAATGCAGCAACTTTGGCTGCGGATACCTGTGCCACAGTGTGCCACTGAACTGTCAAATCGGAAGGAAGCAAACCCGCGCTCTACCCTCTATTATCGATGCTGCATTTTCTCAAATCTCGTGTTCAAGTGGGCACCCCACTCGCTTGCGCGCACCAGGCCGACGCCAGACCGAACAAGTCTAGGGGACGCCATTTGGTGGAGGGGGCCTCAGGTTGAATGGTTCCTTGCCGCTCGGACTGGTTCCTTCCTGCTCTAAATGTTCCTCTTGATCGGCGCACAGAAGGTATGCTGCGTTGGAGTATACCCTCAGGGCCTACAAAAGGTCTGCTACGTTCCAATGGTTCCTTCATGTTCCTTCCCTCCTCTAAATTCTAAATGTTCCCTCGGGTGGCTCGCAAGAGTTTGGAATGCCTCCTTCCTCTGCTACACTTCGCGCTCGGGTGGCTCACCAAAGGTATGCTATGTTGGGGTGGCTTCTTCCTATACCCTAAATTTTACCCTCGGCTGTCTGCGTGGCAAGCACAGAATCCTTGGACAATTGGGAGTGTGCGCCGGTGCAGCCGTTTATGAAGGCTTCCTAGTCTGCCAACATGCGTGTGTACAAGCAAGTCTTTGTCTGCATGTATAAATAAATGAGGTGTTTTCCGCGTGTACAAGCAAGCGCTAGCGTTCGTTGCCGTCACTCTTTAAAGATTGCAGTGACAGGCAATTCCCAAGGAATTCCCACCAGGAAGGAAACTAATTCCGCGCGTTGCCCAGCCTGGCATCAGACTTGTTGTCCAAAAGCCGGAAGCTTAGCTCTCGCCACGGCACTCTCTGCAGTTCCACTGCGGCAGTCTGCACTGTCCGCCAATCCCCTTCGTAGCCCAAAGCACGCTGTCTGACGCACAGAGGTGAATCAGAGAGGTTGGTTTCTGTGCGCTATACACATGAGGTGTCGTTCGATTGCAGGAATTGCCGCACCACTTCTACTCTTCATGTGGTGTCAAGAACCAAATTGATTTTGTTTTGAGGGTACTTGGCTTGCACGCAGTGCACTTTCCTCTCGCCTGATACCGTCCACCAGCAGTGAAAAGACCAAGTGCACATTTACCTGGAATAGCGGCCAAAACTTGTGGCGAAATTTTAAACAACAACTGGGCATGCGTTTCATTATGACTCCAGTGCCAAACCGCGACTAAAGGAGCAGGTTTTTGGCAGGCTGCCTCAACATGTTTGCCAAAATGTACAATGCCATTGCATTCAAACCATTTGTCCAGCCAGTGCTTTGAGCATATAGTTCAATTAGACAAGTCACCTGGACTCTGACATCAATGCCAGAACTGTCTGCATTGAGCTTGTACGCAATGCGCCGGCAGCTATCCGGGCAAGCATTCGCAACTCCTTTTCCACCGATCTTCGCCGATTGGTCCATCTCATCATGCTGCAGGAAGTCTGTGATGCATGGCTGCAGATGTGACAGACCCGATCTAGGCACCAGGGATGCCAGCAATGGTTGCCATCCTACACGTCCGAAAGAACAACATTGAACCTACGGTGCCGCATGGTGTAGCAAATGGTGTGTATTGTCTCAGATCGTTTCAAGTGAAGTCCTTTGAAATTGGGACAAGTCCGAATCTGCTGGATCTTGGCCTCTGCAGACTCACAACTGTGATTATCGAACAAAACAAGCAGCACCGTGGTTGGGAAAGGGGAATACCCCCCACCCACGGCTACAAAGAAATAAACTGCAACGAAACTTTGCAGTGCGTTGTTGCTTTCAAACTCGGTTCACAATCACATTTGAAGGAACCATTGTGAATTTTGGTCCCGCACTTATATATATAATATTATATATTTATATAAGGACAACTTAGACTTGAACACTCTGTCAAGTAAAAGACCAAATCAAACATAGGGTAATGCCAATGCAGTGAAAGTTCAATAAAACTTACACAAAAAAATACGCATACATGCGGGCGGAACACTCTGTCAAGTAAAAGACCAAATCAACATAGGGTAATGCCAATGCAGTGAAAGTTCAATAAAACCTACACAAAAAAATACGCATACATGCGGGCGGTCTATGCAACCAATGTGCGCTGTTGTGCATCTTTGCTGGAACATGTCATGGACAAGCCGGAGGTTGCGCAAACAAACCACAGTTTCGCATAGTTTACAATGATACTGGATAGAAAAAATAACACACAACTGACACAAACTAGGTCTTGCCTAAGAAATCATGTGGGTGCATGCCCCAAAAAGGCATATCCCTTCACCTGGCCTGCGTTTTGGGACGCAGGTATCATATGTCGATATTATTCGATATTAACTAACTTATTGTACATATTTGCTGTAGGCCCCGGCTTAGCCTTTGCCTGGGCGGGCGGCGCGTGGGATACCGAAGGTTGCAACTTGGCTTTGCGTGGCTTTCACCCTGTGTCGCGTAGCGGCAGAGGTTTCCTGGCGTCCACACCGCTTTCAGTGGCTCGTCTCAGGGCAGATCCCACTCCTCGGTCCTCACATTTTTTGATGGGTTTCGAAGCTAGCAGCTAGGGTTTGAGCATGTTTTCTGGTATCTTTTGCGCACAGAAGTGGATGAGCTAAGGGCACGGCAGGGGGATTTTCCTGAGCAGCGTCCACGCCTCTTTCAGTGGCTCATCCCTCTGGGGGTTGGTTTCTAGTTTCTAGCAATGAGATGCAATGAGATTGATTGTGAGAACTTCTGGAACTTGGTGTGGGTGGATGACAACTGCACACCCGAGCAACTGACTTGTCTTGGACATGGCACTGCAACGCAAGCGCTTGAGGCGCCCCGGTGCTTCAGCCCCTCACCATCAAGCGTCCCCCATCGCAGGCGAACAGCAAAGCCCGCGTCCTTGAAGATGGCTTCAATTGCCCCCAGGGTGCGCATTGTGTCGCCCAAGTTGCTTTGCATTTTCGGTGTCTGGTTAACCTGCTTCTAACAACAACAACAAGATTCACCTGTTTGCCCCACTGAAACCCCTGCTGGCCCGCTGTTGGGCGTAAGCCCCTTAAATGTTTCTTTGATTGCGTAGTGTATATATATAACTATGTAAAAATGCACCTATTAATATCCTGATAGGTTTACTTAAGACCTTGGTGTTTTTGAAGTTTTGGTGGATCGAAACCGAATTATATAAACAGTAACAGTAGTGTGTTCAGCATCTGTACAACAACTGCAAAGAGAAAGTTGGTCTCTCAAACGCCTTTGTCCAAGTTTTAGGCCATTGTCAAGTCTGTTGATCGGTACGTGGAACCCTCAATTGAAAAGGATGCAGCGGCGAGCCGCCCTTGAAGGCCCAGTACTCTTCATCTTGACAAACCGTTCTTCTTGACGCCTCAAAACTACGGAGTTAGACCAACCAAAAGACAACATATCCACGCACTTACCAAATTGGAAAACGATTGATCGCATCGCTGTGCGTGATACAAGTACAGTCCAAAACCATGCGCGACATGGGGCCTCCGCACCGCGCCAAAAAAACAAGCAGAGGAGTCTACTTTGCGTGTCTGTAAATATACAATTATCAACTAATCATTGCGAGTAAATACCATGTGTCACTGATGTCACGTGCAATGGCCCAATGGCCCTGGCTGCATTGGGGACATAAACAATCCCATTATTTTTAAAAAAAAATATGTTGTAGGATATTGTCGGCCTGTATGTCTTGTTACGGTATATTTGCTTCGTGCTTGTTCCGTGCCTCAGTCTCGGATCTGTTTGCACCCAGCAATCCGCAGCCACGGATGAAGCTGAAGATCTCATCAGGGTATCGACGACCCACAACGGGCGTCACTGGCTTCCAAGCTTTGGGGCCAACCAGTCCTAAAAATCAGAGCATTGATGATTCGTCGCAACATCATTCAACTCAAGCTCTTGTTTGGCATTTGCTGGCTTATATATTGCTAGTGGCTTAAAGACCAGCATGCTGTGCTGTCTTCCAACCATCAGTTCGCCCACAATTTGTGGGGAGATTTGAGATTGACAAGCTATCAATATCATTCACCTATGCAGTACAGTCAAAGACATTTGGCCCGAGCTGCGAATTAGTCACAGTTGTGAACACGGTCAAAGTATTTTTTCGGAAACTAAAAAATGATCTTCGGAAACTTTACGGTTTTCTTCGGAAATTAATCTTCGGAAACTATACGGCTTTCTTCGGAAACTAATCTTCGGAAACTATGCGGTGTTCTTCGGAAACTTTACGGTGTTCTTCGGAAACTGTTAAGTTAAATGTTAAGTGGAAACTAATCTTCGGCAACTAAAAGTGATCTTCGGAAACTTTACTGTAAGGTTTTCTTCGGAAACTATTCCTCGGAAACTCTACGGTGTTCTTCAAAACCTAATGTTCGGAAACTACAAAGAGTCGAAGAGCAACATCAAACCTGCTCGAAACACTTTCTGCAGATCGCAAAACAAGCATGTATATACCGTAGCCGTCACAAGGTACGTCAATATCCCACCCACCTACCCACCCACCCAGTGCTCCTTCATGCAAATTGGCTGCAACATTGTAAAAGTTCTGAGGAATACTTTCTAAAGTTAGCTTTCTGAAGATCGCGAAATAGTCTCTGAAGATCGCGGAATAGTTTCTGACAATCGCAAAATAGTTTCTGAAGATCGCAAAATATTTCTGAAGATCGCGAAAAAGTTTCTGAAGATCGCGAAATAGTTTCTGAAGATCGCGAAATAGTTTCTGAAGATCGCAAAATAGTTCCTGAAGATCCCAAAATAGTTTCTGAAGAGTAGTTTCGGAAGAGTACCAAATATTTGCGGAAGAAAAGTTTCAGAAGAATGGAGAGTTGCGGAATAGGACTTTGTTCTTGTGAACACACAGAAAAGAGTCCCGCAAGAATGCTATGTCCGGCAGAGAGTGGTCACTGTCAAACATGCCCAAACCTTGACGCTACATCTTTGGTTTCTTTTCACGATTCTTGCACTGAGAGTACTTGTTCCGTGAATTAGGCATGTTATACATTATTTTGTGAGCTGCAATGCATCTCAGGCGGAGGTTCTCACGGTTCTTCTCAACTCAGGTCTAAGACTACACAAAGAGAAGCGAATGGACGCAGGATAACATTCCTCCAACTCCTAGGCCTAGGCAAACAAAGGTGCTGGGGAATCCGCCCTTCATTGTGTCAACCAATCGCGAGGGGAGCGCGACTTCAATATCGTCATCTGATTTCATTGGTAAGATTTTCGCCTTGGACTGAAAAAACCTTTCGAGATCTTTCGCAATTGAGGTTATCTTTCGCGGCACAAACTTAGATTGGCTCTCTAGCATTTTGTTGTGGAAGTGTTGCACCAACCTTATACAATGAATGCATGTCAATCACAGAAAATCACTTTTGTAAGTTCCTAGAAGAACAGGGCGCGTCATAGTCACTGCTTTTGAATCACCCATGTCCTCGTCTTGAGGTCTGGAATGATACTTCGGTGACTGTGAGCCAGTCGCCCTCGTCATCCGTCATCACACGGCATTCTGAGGATGTTCATTTTCTGATTGCATCTTTGGCCTTGTCTAGATCCCCGACAATTCATGCACCCACTGTGACTATCATGAAAGAATCCATGCAATGCCGGGGCTCTAAATCAACAAGTGGCGCAGCTTTCCTGCACATTTTTGTCTGTCCAATCTAATGGCCAGGCGTGTATGCTCAATGCTTTGCCAAAACAGCTACAAAGCCGCAAGCCATGTTAAGACATGATGTTTGCAAATGACATGCTTCAAGCACCTTGGCTCCAATGCTGGCACGGATGACTACAGACTTTAATGTTCTGACTAATTGCAAATGTTGCCGTTCCTGTAGAGAGACCACCCACACAAATGTAAAAAGTGTCCGACTCACACTTTCTGTAAGGGCCAAACACCAAGCGGAAGCGAACCTTTGTGGAGGACACCCAACAACATAATTTCTCAGGTCAGGAAGTGCATAAAGAGCCAAGTCAAAACGATTCAAAACGATATGAACTATCCTGTTCTGAATTCACCATCAAAAGGCTCAGGAACCAGCAAAGTTGCTTATTGGGCAGAGTGGTCACCAATAAGACCAAAAGAAACAAGTGATTGCTCTCCTTTAACCTCTAAAAAGCCTTGGCAATATGCGTCATTGTTGGTGAACCTGTTGCTTGAAAATCTGGCCCAAATAATATTGAATGATTGAATGCATGAAACAGTCAAGATCTGATGCGCACCATGCAGGCTGCTGCAAATCTTCGTGGTAGCAGCCCGGTGCTAGACCTTTGGTTTTGGCATGGCTGAAAGTTTGCACAAACAACATGACAGGGACAGTATTACTAGACGTCATGTCATTGGTGTATAATATCGTACATTGATATTGAATGATATTAATTTGCTCCTGTGCCTAATTGGCCTGATTGCATGGTACATTTGAACATATTCCAGCGCACTCACCGTCCTTGGACTTAAACTCAAAAAACTTGAAGCCCGCACTTCTCTCCAAGCGATTCCAACTGAGCTTCTCTTCGTTTTGCATCTTTGGCATCCTGGAATGAGAGCTTCCAATGCAATCATCTGCAGTAGTTTGTATACCTCTTTCCACAATAGGGCTGGAGGCTGGTCTGTTTGGCGGCTCAACTCCTCGAATGAGCTAGTACCCTTTGTATATTTACTACCTATGGTATCCTATGGTAAGTTACTGTAACTACTACCATCGCAACCCACATCGGTCAAGATTCCTCGCTCCTGGGATAGTCGAGCTTCAGCATTCTCTCTTGACCTTCGGCAATTCCGGTATGAAATACTCAATTGATTTGACTCACAAGTGTCAAACAAAAGTCCAACGTTGGAAGGTGCAGTACAAATTGTTCATTCCATCATCGCACAAGCGCAATCATGCTGCAACTGATGCGATAAGGAACTTGATCAACATATACCATACACCAAGGTAAGAAACTATTGTCCCCAACGGTCTCCAAGCTCCTCACACCTTCTCTTTCATCTCACGCAGTTCGTCCACAACCTTATGATCTAGGGGTGGAAGGGAAATCTTCGAGATTCACACCTGACAACAACCCAGTTCCAGTATCTTACAATATGAATCTCTGTCTTGGCTAGCCAAATCTTCACAAACCTTCACCGTCGGCGCCCAATTCATACGTATTCACAGTGACTACTTAGGCTATCTCTGATGGGTTTTCCCAATACTGTAATAAAAAAAGCAATCAAAAAGCAACTACAAAAAGCAAAAGCAAAAAAACATAGCAAAAAGCATTCCAAAGCAAATGAAAAAGCAAAAAAAACGGAGACAAAAAGCAAATGAAAAAGCAAAAAGCGAACATAAAGCGAACAAAAAAAAAAACATCGATAAACACGCGAAACAAAAGAGGAAACATGCGAACAAAAAAAAGCGAAACAAATGCGAAAAAGACAAAACATGCGGAAAAAATGTGAAAAATTGTGGTTTTTCCTTTTGGATTTGCTTTGTGTTTGTTTTTGCTGTTTCACTTGTGTTTTTTCTTTTTGGATTTGCTTGTTTTTTTGCTTTTGCTTTTTGTATTTGCTCTTTTTGATGGTTTTCTTATTTTCAAGATTCACAGAGTTAGCCTGGGTCCGGCGAACACAAGATTACTTGTATATACAGTACTTGATTATGCTTGTATTTATATGCTAAATAGACTAGATATTTGGCTGTTTGACGCATCCACAGAGCTTGCTGTTTGCAGTTTTATTAAAATTCATCGAATCGGAACAGAGCATGTGCCAAGGACCAAATCCCACATCACATAACAACAATCTCCTGCCACAAACGACAGCCGCGTCACCAAACCATCAGCTGACAAACGCCCGACGGCAAGCCTCGTAGCATCAGCCATACTACCATACTCCAAGCTGCAAGCTTTTTTGAAAGAACAATGCGGGTGGTCGAGACATCATCACGCGCCAAGTCTAAGACGCAACCATCCGTCCCAATATTTTTCTTTATCTTCAAAGCAACAGGGTCAAAAGAATGCGGAACTAAAGGACTTTGAAGACAATCAAACAACACGGACAATCAAACTTGGGGGATGTCCTAGCGAGTGCCAAAAGCCCGAACACAAAGGAAAGGACGCGAAGATCAACCAGGATGCATCGCTCTGCTGATGACCAAGGGCAAATCTTGAATGAAAGTTGTTGGGCCTCCATGCCATTCCAGTTGGTGGTTTGAGAAAGGCCAGCTTCGATCGCCAGCTCTCCGACTCCTCCACCAAACTCCCAAGCAGGATTTGAGAATCATATGAAGGCAAGTCTGTCAGATCTCCTTTGAAGTTTGGTCAACGTTTGGCACATCATCACACATCCTGCCATTGCGCCTTGCTTTCCTTCCATTGGAGGTCCATGTCCTCCTCGACCTGCCTGACAAAGTCTAAGGCAGCAATTGACGCCTGCAGGTCAGTTGTTTCAGCAAAGAAGTGCTGAATAGTGCTGAAGTAACTGTCATACCGTCATATTCAGCCCGACATCTATCTGACTGCTAATGGACTCAATTGGGGGTGTCCTTGTGTGCAGAACTGCTGATGAAACACTAAATCCCAGAGTGATGTGATTCCAAATTGATTCCAAAGTGCCCAGGGGCCCAGCTCATTACAACGAGAAGGTGAAATCAAGTGAACTTTGACAACTTCGAGGCGCGGCTGTATCTAGAAAGCGATTGCTGAAAGCAATCAGGAGTTCACACGGTGTGAGTATGTATGTGTTACAAGCTTCAGGAATTTGTAGAGCCAAAAAAGGCCTGCGGTCAGTCAGCTGTTGAAGTTATATACTGGTACTATCAAAAAAAGGCGCCAAATGTGAAGACTCCATCCCACTATCAGTGCCTTCCATACTGCAGCATGAAGATCAAATGTTTTTTGAGTGCAGGAGAATCATGCGGAATGCACGGCAGGAGAATCATGCGGAATGCACCCTAGATTCACGCAAATGAAAGGTGGTGGTGTATGGCCTTTTCGTTCATCAGTACAAAGCCGTCTGCTGGCAGCATGCATTCTTCAGCCTGTCCACTCCCTCTCCAGCCGCTCGAGTCAACGGTCTTACTACAATGATGCTAGTATTTCATGATCTTAGCATTGAGTTTGGTTTGACCTTTCGCTCTATCACCCTGGCTCTCTGCCATATTATTTTGCAAGGTAAATCAGAATATGGAGCAATGACTGGAGTAATGATATGTCATCAGTGATCACAAGACTGCAGAATGTGTCAAACGATGCCTGGTGTAGATCCATTGCACAAGAGCCAGCCTGGTTTGGGCGTCCCATTGGATGATGCTCTAATCTTACAAGGATCAATTGCGGATAATGACGTTGGCTGACCCGTGTGTCTAGGCGTGAGAAGCCAGCAGTACGTAGCAACCTGAGTACACATTGTTCTGCAACTGGCGGGCCTTGAGCAATTAAACACACGCACAATCCATTCCGTTCCAAAACTCCAAACCCCTTCCAAAATGAAGTAGATAAACACAGGGAATGTCGCATCATTTCGTCAATATATGTGCGGTGGAAATTATTTGGTATCTAGCTCCAAAACACTATCCATTATGTGGGGGCCCTATCTCGTTTAGACTACTTACAGTAAGTAGGAGGTCATGTCACAGTATCTCGTTCAGACTTCTTTAGTAGCAGGACACATGTCATCATGTTTACAACTTGTGTTGTGAAGTCAGTTGAGCGCACACACAGACACACAAACACAATTCTCTAGCTGGAGTTATCACTGTCACTGAAGTTCGAGGCTTGAGAGGAGCTTTGCTCCGCTGCAGCCAGGGATTGCAGCTTTCGTTCGCGGTGTTCGAACTTTCCTTCTGCTTCGCTGCTTCTCCAGCTTCTCCGTCGTTGACGTTCGTTTTCTGACAGCTTGGGAAACAGCTCTTTCAACCTTACTTGCTGCATAGGGTCGAGAAACAAGGATGGGGCTATCCCTGTGCGCAGGCTTCAGGGATCATTCTTGGATCTCGTCGTTTGGATCTCGTTCAGGACAACCAAGTATTTGTCGAAACATTGGCTACACAGCCCATGTTGAAAACGCTCAAGTGCTCTATTTCCCCTTTGGATGGGCAAGATGTCAGTCAATCTTGCACCTCTCTTCTTACCTTCCTGCACTGTCAGCACCCAAGCACTGGTCCTTCACGGTACCGGCGCTCTTCCCATAGGCAGAACTGCAGTCCCATCGCAACGCACAAAAGCAGGCAGCCTCTACACACCTTACACCCTCCAGGCTTGAGCTGCCAAGATCTGTGCAATGGCAAGCACTGCATGTGTGCATGGTTGTCTCTTGAACATGTACCTGAATATCCAAAAGATCTGCCTTGGTTCTCCTTGCAAATGGTCGCATGCTCGCTGGCCAGACATTGCTGTCATCAAAAAAGTATATCGTTTATGTGGGGGCCCTATCTCGTTCACAAGCTAATCTTGATAATAGACAAAAAATAGAGCACGCCGTAGACTACTTTAGTAAAGCCTAAATAAAAGTGGTTGCTCATATAATGTCAAATTCCCCCATCCAACCCCGGTGTTTGAGGCGAAGCAGCAATCCTGTGGCAGGAGCCATTGGCATGTGCATCTCTGTGGTCAACACCAGAGCCGCCCTGGAATGCGAGCGACCCTAATGTATGAGCGACACGTCAATGCAAAGCTCGCCAATGCGGTATTCTGTAAACAAAGGCTGGCGCTCTAAAAGATCATCTGGCAAAACCTTGGGAACAAAAACAGTTGCTCGTCAATCTAGCAAACAAGCACACAAATTACAAATCGTCTTGCAAGAGTCTTGTAACGAATTTGCCAATGTCAAAACTGCAAACCGGCAGACTGGATTGAGCACTGCACTCCAGCAAGAATTGCTACTGCTGTGCCGACCATCAAGCGAATCCTAGTTAGTGCTCAGTAGACCACAACTTGCCAGGAAATGCCATGGCTAGCAGGTTGGAGGCCATCGCAAGCATGTTGGAGGCCATCGCAATTAGGTATAGATATAATTTATAATCTAATCATATCTAATCTCATCTGATCTTGCTTGAAAGTATCTCTGCTTTTGGTCCAGCATCCCTGAGGAGGTGGCTGATTGTAAAGAAAAAACTGACCGCGGAGAACAATCCGAAGCAGCTTGCCTGACTCAACCCATGATGGTATACGGCCGCATACCCCAACATGAAATATACAGCTGGGCCTTTATGAAACTGTGCCTCTTTGGTGGCAACTTGTTCTAGCTGATATTTCATGTTGAGCACATGCCAAGGCTCCATGCATGT